ATATTGGAACAAAGAGTTTGCATCAAATTTTGTGTTTCGAACGAAATTTCGTGTGCAGAATCGTTGCGAATGCTACAAAAGGCTTATGGGGAATCAGTTTTATCGAAAACTCAAGTTTATGAGTGGTACAAAGCCTTTCAGGACGGTCGTACGACCGTCGAAGACATTTCGCAACGCACTACTGAGGTGAACTGGTTTCAACAGCTGCCGTAAACGAACTGTCTGACAGATCGCGCTCATTTTTGGCATAGTAATTAAGGACAGTGCTGCCAAACTACATAAACTTAAAATATCGAAAAATATACAGCGCGCGAATTTTAAATGAGAATTTCCGAAAACTTTTCAGTCTTAATGTACTTTGCTGATTCCTTCGGATAATTTTTAACATGTTTATATAATGTTGAATTCTCTAATCTGTTTAGTGTAGCGTGTATGACCATTAAAATTGATCAAAATAATAAAACTGTGCATTTCGGTGGCCTTGTTCCTCTTCGATGAGCCTAAATTTATAAACTCCAGACTTTTGTCGAAGCTGCGATTAGCGAAAGGGGGTGAATTTATGCTATCTGTCATATATGAGATTCATATATGAGATTCATATATGAGATTCATATATGAGCTTTGTTAATATTTCAAAGTGAATTGGCAAGTTTCATTGACGAAATAAGAGTTTCCAATATAGAAAAGAAGGCAAATAATCCAGAAGGAAAATATCAGTGGTATTATATTTAGTTAGTAAATGATCTTAGAGTGACAAAGGTAGACAACTGTCACTTAACATACACTAACTACATTACGATGACTGATTAACAAGTTAGTAACTCTTTAATTGGAGGACGTTTTTCCTCTGATCCTCTTCGATGAGTCTCGCAAAGACACATTTACAACAGAGTTCAATGTTAACTATTTATTCCATATTATTTATTTTTTCTAACGACCTACACAAAGTATTATACAAATTATTAATCAAGTTATAGCGAAATATCAAGCGTATTAACTCTGAACTTGTCAGTCAGGTAGATGTGGCTAGACTAAGAAATTTTGATGGTATCAGTCTTGTGAGGTCTGTATAAGAAAACTGTGTATATAAACTTTAAAGTAGTTTGAAAAATTAAATAAAAATTTAAGAATATTATTCCTTTTGTTGTTATTAATATATGGACACACAAATGTAACTTTTTTGATTTAATAAGATTAATAAAGATTAATATACTTCTAGCTATTAATATTCAACACTTCGTTTGCTTAAACCTTTTTAACTCATTATAGCATTTTCTTCATACTTTGCCAAACAAAAATTAATTTACGTTTTAATTAAGTAGAATCGTTTATTTTTGACAGCTACAATTTTATTTCTAATAATATATACATATATATATAAATAGACCTTTTTAATACACTTATCTTAATGAGCTTAAGAGGCCTGCCGTCATTGCTTCCACTAAAGATACAAATTCGTTTTGTGTTTCTTGCCTTTTGCAGTGAAGAGTACAGAATATCGCCGTTTAATTGCGATGATGAGAAAAATTCATTAAGTCGCAAAAGCTTATCTCATAAATCCAAAAATGCTTTTTTTTAATAAATGTAAACACCAACAAATATAATATTGTATATAAAATTGTTTAAATAATTTATGAATGACGTCATCAATTTTCTTATTATTCTTGATGTATCGAAACGTTTAGCTTTGTTTGGATTCTGTGCTTGTTCACATATTTTTTTTATTGCAATGTTTACCCATTTTTGTTGCTATTTTTGGTAGTTGGACATATGTAAACAAACTGAGAAAATTCTATTTGCAATGCATCAGAAACGTCTATAAATCATTTTATTTACATGATAAAATCTAATAAACTTTTACATATTTGAAAATTTATGGTATGAAGTTAAAATTTTAGACAAAAATGTGTTTCATATTCGAAGTTTTGTAACTTGGGAGCAATTTTTACATTTTAAATGCCTAAAATATGTCGTCATTCAAATTTCTTCATATATGGATAGCACAAAACTTCTACAAGTAGTATCTAATCTTAATACACCCACTGCTTAAAAAGTATTTAGAACTTGAAAGCCACTTTTATGACAAGTATTAAGGCAATCTTTTATGTAGTCTTACTTGTTAGAAGTAAGTTAATCAGGTGATTTTTGGTAAATATAAGACTCAATATGTCTTCCATATCTCTTTTTACTTAAACAAACTGAATATCCTCTTTATATCAAAGATATACCGACCAATACCTTTTGAGACTGTATTGAAGCTGAATAACTGAATGTTGCCCTTCATTCGAAATATGCAAATATGATTAATCATCGATATTGTTTTGACTAATCGACAAGTGCAATTGTTGAGAAAACGGGCATATTATATAGGTATTTACCTTTTTCACAAACAATTGGACATAAAAAACTCTCGGCCAGATTAGTGATTTTTCCTATAATGATTGTGTTGAAATTCTTTGGAGATTTTTTAACAAAATCTAGACGCAGAATTTTGCATCCATTTATTACTAATAAAGATATATTGATCTATACCTACACACACGATACAAAGAAATAATAAAAATTAGGATTATACTGAGAGAACCATGCCCAAAGGAAAGAAAAAAAACTATGAATTTATTAAGAAAGGAAAAAACCAAAATTTATTATGATACATGAGATATAATAATAATATTGATTACCTTTAATCGAAAAAAATTATCAATTGTGATTTCTATGAGACCTTATTTCAACATTTTAAATGAATCACTCCATTTGAATGAAGAAAAAAGTAGTACTGCCTCAAGAAATTGCTTGATTGTTCGTGTCTGTAGTTGTCTTAAGAAAATTTTATCTATTGAGCTAAAGAATTCCACCCTATCAAAAATATTCTACAGATGTTGCTCAAACAAATATTTTTTCTAAATTAACTTAATGAACGGATTAAATTTGACCTAACAAGAACCACAATGTTTATTGTCATAATTTCGAAAAACTCCATCATTATGATAGAAAAAAATAATCATTTTGATAGAAAATATTGAATGGATAATTGCAAATTGTATGAAGTATATTGAGTCAAGGCAAACAAGTATTTAGGAAAAATTGCTATCCGTTTAAAGAATCACTAACTTGTTAATCAATCATCTTAATACAATCACACTAAGGTAATAATCTGACCAATTCTAATACCACTGACAGTGGATCATCTGCATTCTTTATATATTGGAAACTACTGTTTCGTTAATGACTCTTGCCAATAGATAGACAGACAGCATAGATTCCTCTCTTTCCTTTCATGTTTGTTGCTGCGACAAAATTTTGGAATTATTACATACGTCTTTAAACATGTGTTCTTACGTTCCATTATTACTTGTACTTGTTAAATAATTTTGATAGAATATCTGTTCTGTAAGAGCGCAAAATTGATAAGGTATGATATATACTATGATATATACTATGATATATACTATGATTTATACAATGATATATACTATGATATATACACTATACTCTGCTCATCCTTCTTTTTATCACAGTTTTGACCAAAATTTGACTTTTGTTATATATCCTTATTAAATAATGTCTTGTTATTACTTCTACCAGTACCAGTACAGATAAAGAGAATTTACTTCTTCTATATAATTCGTTTAATCTTGGAATTTTTGCAGATTGTTCAATTCCTACACTTCATATTGGTTTCATGGGTGATACAATCACAAATTAATTAAATACATTAAAAATTCTTCCATTTTAAACTTCCTGATTTGATGAGATGGGTGATATAAATAATAAAAATAAATATCATAAGTTATCTAAACAGATAAAATATATTGATGTAACTACTAAATCTGCTACTGGCATTGACTACAAGAAATTTAAAGCAAATGAGAATTTTATTTGAAACAGTTTACTTCCGAAGTCGTGGAGTATAATAAATTATTTATAATACTAATATAGTACAATTATTTATAATACAATTTATTCGTATGCATAATAACATATACTTAATATACGTTATGTATAATTTATATAAGTCATTAAAAATTTTAATCATATTAATAATCATTGATAAAGAAACTGTTAGATGTATCCGCATTTGGCTAAAGTATAGGCAAACTATGAACTTAGGAAATTGAATCATAACATATGACTTTAGATAGCGGTTCTGACGGTTCTATATTAGAAAGCTTTCTTCAAATACAATCGTATATATAGCAAATATTAAAACAAATCTCAAGAACTATGAATCATTAAAAATTTTGAACATTACAACAATTTATTTAAGAACTTATCGTATAACTACTAGTACCTCAGTGAGCTCATATAAATAATATATAAAAAAAGTACTACATTTATGAATTTAAAATAATGACCGGAAACTGTTCGTTGGTATTATCATAATAAAAAAAATTAACAAAAACAATGGCCAGTAAAACAAGATAAAAATTATAGACATTTTTTTTAAGAAACTCTTTCTAAATCTTTTGCCATTAACAATTATATACTTACATATGTATATATATGTTTATTGTATGCATTTAAAAGATTTTTACATGTGGTGATAATATTTATGTTATCCAATATTTCTGAATGTACTCTATTCTGTTAGGATTTACAAGTATTGGGAAAAAGGCAAACAGAGTTTTTTCTTTGAAAATATGTTCTATTAACAGATTTAATGGTTAATCTTCCTGTGAGTGTAGGCTGTGCAAAATTGTAGTCTTGTGTCGGTATATCCTTTTATTTTCTACTTAAAGTAATTTTTTTTACGTAATTTTCTGAAATTGATTTTCCTGTTTGGTGGTCTTGAACAGAGTACCATTCATCCCCTATTACACTATTAGTAATTTTGCCTGGGTTTTGTAATAAATTATATCTCTAAAGAGATATCCTTATGGTACAGAAGAATTTTTCCAATTTGAAACTTTTGTTTATTTTAAATTGAAATTTATTATATTTATATTTATATATATATATCAAAAATATAATTATAGAAAACAGAATTAACTTCCACTTACCATTTTGCAGTTGTCTCGAGGCGTAGTTCATGATATGAAGCAGTGAACTGAAATTTAGCTGCGCGTTTATTAACGCGCTGTAGTCGCTTCCAAACACTACCCATTTACTTTGTAATTAACAAGGAAGGATCCTTTGAACTGTAACTAAATAAAATAGCACAATTATTTGCAGAATTATTACAGGAACTTTAAATACAAATTAAATTTGTATTATTCCTGCTGATTCTGTGATGTGTGCACTATTTTCACGAACTGTAAATTATCTTAGATCCTTTACTTCACTCGAGGCTAAGATTTACGAGTTCGAAATGGGCTCAATGGCTTGTGATATGCAAGCTGGTATTTATTGTTTCGTATTTGCTTATACCTGATGATGTCCTTTTTGTTTGTTTCTTTACAGTTTCAAAAACTGGTATCCTTAAGCAGCAGCAGGTGTGTAGCAGTCGGAGTCTGGATTTTTGATCACAGCTGTTGCAATTTTGTAGTTTATATTGCCAAATATTTTCTGTTTCGTTTTTCGGTTTAATATTTTTTTTGTTTTTTTATTTAATTATTAAATATATATATATTTTCATACATTTTAATTTTATTTATTACTGAATATAAATAAATTCAGTTGCTAAAAAAAAAATATTATAAAACATTAATACAAATATATTTTGTATTTTATTTTTTTTTTGCATTTATTTAAATAAAGCTAATTTCACATAAAAATAATATTTATAACTTTTGGGTAACACAGCATTTATTTTAAATTTTATTTATACGTTTGATTATACATGAAGTAATATATATATATATATATATATATATATATATATATATATTTATATAACAATTTTTATATATTCCGTACTTTAATTTTGAAAACGTTTTGTGGCTGTTTATTTTGTATTTTTAAATCATATTTATAAATACTTTATTAATATTTTTAAGTTCAAATACATTTTTGATATATATTAATATTATTGAAAGCAAGTTTCTGGGATCAAAGTCATTTAAAAAAAAAATCTAATCTTATACAAAACTAAATAAGATATGAGTAAAAAAAAGCAACCAATCCAAATAAATAGTGGCGTACTGACAGGGAGTGAATGTCTACTCATATCCCGGGCGCCAATCGCAATCCCTAGAACTCCATAATACCATACCTCTAAAGGATCACTAAGCAAAACCGTAACGATTACTACTTTATATGTTGTTTAAATCTAGACATAAATTATGAACATATTGAAAATATCCTAGATTTCAGATTATTATGTACATTTTTCGCACTATCCCCTCTACACCTGTGTACTATCACATCACTAAGATCAAAACCCTTTCAAGTCGAAACCATCTATTTCACTAAATAAATCGCAAACAAACAGTCAATAGTGCTATCTGGCCTATAACGATACAAAATTTCATACATACATGCTATGTTGATCGATCGACATACCAACATAGCATGGATATATAGTAATATTTCCAATAACAGTCGTCAAGTTCGAAGAATATATACTATTCACCACACCCAAAAATTAACTATACAGGTTGATCTCTGCGGACTATAACAACAACATTGTATAAGCTAATTTAATGTGAAGATCAACTACAGACAAATGAAAAATATAGTTTGATGGATTTCAGTACAAATTTATTAAAATTTTTGAAGGAACCTGCTTGGAGCAATGCCACTGTCTTATTGTTATACGCATGTTTCTTCAAAAATATCAAAGACAGATTTTAATTAGTAAAAAAGGTCGTGTGAATGCTGATGATTCTGAATCCCGAGATCGTCATTAATTATTGCTTTATGAATTATGCTTTTATGAATTATAACTAAATTTTGCAACCAGCATGTTTATGAATCCTGAGGCTTCACAATTTGAGACCAACTTCTTCCACTACATTATAAGACTATATAACTTAATTCGTAACATATTGGGCTTTTATTTTACCGCGCTTAGGCAAACGTAATCGAGTCTTGTTTTTATTATTTGCGTCAAAAAGTAGTTCGAAAGGATGACGCAGAACATTTGAACGAACTAGTTCAGTACTTCCAAAATATTATGAATTATGGATACATTTTGAATATTTCGATGCTGTTTTAAGAAATTAAAAACCTGTAAAAATTTTATTCATTCATTTAAAATAATTTCTTAAAGAATAAAAACAAAATAAAATGGAACTAAAAAATACTCGACTTTGTGGAAATCCTTTGTGTTTAAACACATTTAACCCTTAAAAAATAAGAAAGTTAAGAAGTTCCTGAATTCTTTTTTTTGCTTTCCATTAACTTTAAGATATTTTTAACTTTTAAGAAAGAAATATGCAAATATTGTTTATGACACTGAATAAAGCAAAGGGTGCCTAAACTCATAAAATTGTTCACATTATGGAAAAATCCTTTCACTTAATGCAAAACTACACTGAAAAAAAAAACTAACAAAAGTTCAAATAAGTCTTTAACCTTGAAAAATAAATATACTAATTTTTGCCAATTTTTGCAACATATATAATTTCATTTGTTTTATTGCATTTTGTACTAAAAATTATTGCCTTTAATTTTTTTTTATTATTATTTTCAAATTATAACTTGATTTTAAAATTTAGAATTTTTATTTTTAAGGTTCTTTGTTGTCTGCGCTATTTATTCAAAGAGCACAACACACACCGCTCACCGAACGCTTCTTCAATTTTTCTTCTTAATCTTTTCTTTGCATTTGACCTTTTCTTCTTCTTATTTGTTGCCAATGCTATTTGTTTTGTTATTGCAATTTTCAGTTCACCTTTTTTTATTGCATACATGAATTTGTTTATTTTATATATTAAATTATAAAATATATAAATAATAATTTCAATTCAATAGTTATTGTTAAGAAATAAAAACAATAACAAAATTAAAAGCCACCGCGATGTTGTTTTGTTATTATGACATGATGACTGCAGACAAAACTATGACGTCACATATTGTCAATGGAAATGCGTCACGTTCCAGTTTGTAAAACAAAAATAACTTAATTAGCAATTTTGCTTTCAGAGGCAAAGATAAAAACTTAAAGGTAATTATATGTTTTGATAACATTTTTATTATTAAATTGTTTTAACAATTTTCTATTACGTTTTTTTTCTTTGTTTTTATTTTTTAAGCACTTTGCACAATTTTACTATACAAACGTTAGAGTAGTTAGGCGTATGTCATAAGATTTTTGCATGTCGCATAAATGACAAAAGTGCGAGCGAGCAGACAACAACAAAAAGTAAAGTTTAAATTTTAACTTAATAAATATAATATTTGGGAATTGTAATTTTATAATTGCATCACAAATAAAAAATAATCACAACTTAATCCAAATATAACATAACAAACATATATTTATGTTCTTCAATTATTTATTACTGTATATTTATGCACCGTAATTCGACCGACAAACGTCCATAAACGACGGTAGTTGAAAACAGACTGCAAAACAACAAATTTTAATAAAGATTTTTCGTCATTGAGTTTTTGACATTTTCTTTTGTATACTTACGTTGCCATACTTTTACATATTGGATCAGGTGACAACTGGATAAGGTGCGTAAGAAACGCGCAAATACTTTCACTTACGGTATGCCAATATATTAACATATGAATAAACAGTTTAAATAACATTGTGAAGAGTTTGTTTTATAATATAATGAAATTTATATTAATATAAGCATATAACAATTCTATTATTTCGTATATTTAGGATAATTGCGTCTAAATAGAGTGATTTTCATTACCATTATATGGAAAAAACTTATTTATAAAATTCCACCGCAAATTTGTTTAAATTTTTTTTACTTTTTCTATGTTTACTTATTTAGGCAGTGATGCCAAATTAAGCTTAAGCACGAAAATTTATTCTATTGGTACAATATATGTAATGAAATGAATGATACATTCATGTCAAATTAATGCACCATAGATAAAAGGCCTTCAACAACCTTTTTTGTTTTTTATTCCTTATTTTCTATTCGGCTTTTACTAAAAGTGGCATCACTCAAAACATATGTAGGGCAAAGTGGAGAGTTTAGTTTAGTTACGAACCATTTAGTGTTGTAAAAGCATATATTTAAAAAATTGGTTAAAATTAAGAAAATTTCTATTTTAATATTTTGCTATATTGAATTAATTTATTTTTAATTACTAGAATTGCATGTCTCAATATTTGCATATCATACTTCACAAATGTTTTTTTAATTAATTCATCATTCAGATTGTATAGACTAAATAAAATACATATATACATATTTTAAAGCTGCAAGATTTTGTTTTTTCAATGTTAGCTAGCGAATTAGCATAGTTTGAATATTATATAATATTAATTAGAAACAGACAACAAAGCAAATTAATACTAGAAAAAATGACTGCTGACTTTTCATCACTACTTTATCTTTTATTCGACATTTAAAAGAAAAAAATGTACTAACTGCTTAGATATTCTCTAGAGATTAAGTTCATTGTAGTAAGCTTATCAAGGAGTGCTTTTTCTAATGACAATCTAATCTGCTATGACTCTTAAATAATGAGATGTAGTTATGGCGTGCATTATAATTTAATTAATTTAGTTAACCAAACATATTTCATTTGTAATACAATTCTGTTTTTTTATGTATTGATTCTTTTATATAAAAGAATATCATGTCATTTTAAACGCAAGTATACATACACTTGATATTAATTTATTCTAAATGATTACTTGGTTTTCAACTTTTATAATAATATATATAATATAATATAACTTTAAAACCCAATATATTGACGTGTAATGTAGTCAATTAAGTTAATCGAAAAACAAGATTTTATCAAAATATTTATTCAAACAACAACATCTAGGATACTATAGTGCCAAAAACTCTAATTAGTTTGTATATGAAATCAGCTAGATTGCAAATATAAAACATTAATTCATGCAATGAATTAACTTATAAATGTAAAGAATTGTTATGTTTATAGAATAAATAAAACCAAATTATATGCTTTATTTGTTATAAAAAACAAAATGACCAGAAATTAATATATATTTCAAAATAAAAAAGCATTTGAAAAAGTCAAAACCTAATGTATTGTCTTATAATAAAAAAACTTATACACGAAAACTCTTTTCCAACACTGATAATACAGCATATTTATCTCACCAAAAATGGTGAGTTAAAAATGCCTTGTAACTGAATTTAATTTTCAATTATTATTATTTGTTTATATTAGAACTTTTAAAATAAATAAAATGGTTAAATAAAATTATTACTATATAATTGTATTACCTAAATTTTTCTGACTACGTCATTGAGTAACACATTAACTTTATATTCTAAATGTATTCGTTCTTTATGAAAAAGATAAAGGAAAATTATCGCTTAACTTCCATTTCATTTAAAAATTAAAACACATAATTAATTACTTTTAGTATTCATTTATATTTGAATTTTAGTAATACTTAAATTCAATTTATATATCTTAAATAAATCAACAATTACTTATATACCTATATATATTTTTTTTTTCTGTCACATAATAATTATTTATGTTCTATGATGAAAATATTTTTCGTATTTCACTAAATACTTTTCAGTAGAGAATTGTTTGCTAATTTGTTATTAAATATTTATTTTGTGCTAAATAAATAAATAACATGTCGTGATCATGTATTTAAATTTTGTTTTTACTATTTTTTCGGTGATTTTTAAAAAATTAATACTGTTCCGTTTAGTTTTTTTCTTTAAATGCAATGAAATAATAATTATTGAATGTAAGGTTTTATAATATTTAAGATTCAATTTTAATACTTTAAATATTTTATAATAGCCAATTCTATAATAACTCTTTGAAACTAAAAAAAGGTGTGAAGTTTAAAAATATTTACGGTGTAAAATTATATCCATATTCAATTGATCGATAATACTATAATGATCAGTTTCCCTGGGAAATAATTTTATTATATTATTTAGCTATTTTTTTATAGTTATAAATTTGAACTTATAATTTTAAAAAGTCATCCTGAAGATCATGTTTTTGAAAACTTATTTAAAAAATTGTGTATTTTTTAACATTGACTAATTACGCCGTTGAGAAACTTTATATTAAAATATAATATATATTATATTATATAATATATATTAATAATATATATGTTAATTAAAAGAAGGCTATGAATTAGAGATAAGTATTTATTATTAAATTCTTGGGTTTGATGAGCATAGATGAAAGACCTATTTCTTAAATTAAAGAAAAAACCTGTACTAAACCGTAAACCATGGACGTCGTCTGTCGGGAGGGAGTAAATAATCAAATACCCAAAAATACCCACAAAATGTGTGACAAAGATATAATATATATATAAAAGTGAAATTAAAATGGGCTTGAAAGCCAATGTCTCGACTACGATCATGACGGACACTCCAAATTGTTTTTTTTTATCAAGTAATATCTGTTAGGTATAAGTTAAGACTTAGATATTAGATGACTGGAAAATATCTTTTTCAGTTTGTCAGCGAATAGAACAGGGAAGATACAATCAAAAAATTCTTGTCAAAGTTTAATATTCATGAAAAGAGTGAATCTAAATTACTCTTGTTATTTCATTTATGAAGTTTTAAAAGTATACCCATCACTATGTTCTTTCAGTATATGGTACATATGGTCACTTCAAAGCCCTTATCAGGACGGCCTGGGAAGAGAAATCAATAGGTATCAATAAGAATATCCGTTTAACAAGAACAACGACTGTTCAACAAGGATATCGGTTTAACAAGTACTTTTGTTCAATAAGAATATTCGTTCGACAAGGATATCCGTTTAACAAAGGTATCTATTCAACGACGACATACTTTCAATAAGAATATTAAAAAGAAGGATATCCATTCAACAAAAGCAACCGTTGAACGAGGATACGCATTCAGCAAGTGCATCCATTTAACAAGCATATCCATTCAACAAGGATATCTGTTGAACATGGGTGTTTGTTTAATAGAGGTGCCAATTAACCAGGGATATTTGTTTAACAAGAGTATTCATTTTAAGAACTTAACAGAATTTTGGCAGAGTGAACAGAGTGAAGTACTGGGATTACTGAATCTTTTTTGTTTGGATTGGCTTTTATTTATTTGAAATCGATTACTATTCCATCTTAAAATAAAAATGTTTTTTTTTTCAATTATTATCAATTCTATTAATTTAAATTATATTCATAAATTTCAATATATATTCAACACATCGATATTAAGAAAAATATGCTTTTTTTTTGGCTACATTATAATTTCGGGAAAAATGTGATCACATTTTTGGAATGAATGCAGTTTTCTGCATTAGTTTTCATTCCAAAACTCCATTTTTGAATAGTTGGATAGTTGATTCATGTGAAGTGGATAATGAATGTAGAAAGAGTGCTTAGAATGATTTATTTTATTTACCACTAGAAACAGAATTAGTTTATGCTATATATCTATTTCTTCGATTCTTTAAAAAAATATCTCATACTCGTATAAATAACTCATTCAGCAAATTAGTTTAAGAAAACTTTCTATTTGTTGTTTAAGTATTTGGTAGTGTCATATAATTATATGGCATTTATTAATTTATTTATTAATTAATTAAATAATCTAATATATAGTTAATTTTGTTTTTAAAACACACAATTTACAATTGCATTTAATATTGTAGCATAAAGAATTTTCACATTTTAGTTTATTTAAATCAATTTTTTTTATTAATTAAATAACATTTTTTAGAACTACTTTTCGGTAAGTAATTACTTTTTAAAGATCATTTAATTTTTTTTATTTAATTCAATAATTATTTCATATTAATACAATACATATACAATTGCTAAGAAACTTATTACATATAAATAAATATATATATAAGTATATATATAAATATATATATGTATATAATACGTTCAATATTATTTTACTGTTCCTTTTGTTCGAACGAATGCCTATACTGAAGTTTTGTGACTGCAAATAGTAGTACTTAGTACCTTGGTACTTGCTAAATGTAGGTAAATTAATTAGTGTGTGTGTTTGGTACTACTTTCTGTTTATAAATTACTTAAATAAATTTTTCTCATTATTTTTCTACTTTATTAAATATACTAATTATTCTCTATAATTATTAAAAATAGACTTTTTCTCTGCGTACAATAAAATAAACGTGCAAAAAACTATTATTAATTGATTTAAAAATTTTTTAAGAAGTAATTATTTAATTACTTTTATAATAATTGAATTAGTTTATTAACATTAAAAATGCTTGCTCTCTTTCCTTTTACTGACTTTTTTTTATATATATGTATAAATACTTAACACTTTTGTTCTAAATTTAAATAATATATAATTATCTTAATATGTGTAAGCTTCTGTGGTTTTGTTCTCTTCTTTACGTTATTTGTTTTTTTCTTTCTTTCTTCAAATTAGAATAATTAATAAAAATGTTATAAAAAATTTTAAATTAACTACACTTAGTAGTATTAATAATCATTAACTAATTATATATACAAAATATTTTAAATATAAATTAAAAAAAGATAATTGTATTGTTTTTTAATTTAACATTTACTATAATTTTGAATTAATTTTTTTTCGAATAAATTTAAAAAAAAAATACAGTTAATATGTAATTAGTTAAAATCTTAGTTGCCAGAGTTACTTTATTTTAATATTGATGAACAGGATTTACGTACAAAAAATAAATTAGATTAGATAAATTTTGTTAAATCATTTCAAAATAAAAGATAAAATATATATTTTAATATTATTGATATTGTATGTGTATAAACAATATAGTACAAATGATCCGAAAAGATCGTTCATTAATCACATTCATGTTAATTTAAATTTACTTTTTATTTATTTATTTTATATTTTACTTAATTTTTTCTAAGTATTTTTAAATATATAGTTTTTAAATTTGTTGCGGTTCTCAACCTTAGTAGCTCGCCTCATGACCAGCCAATATATAGAGATCATGACCATCGTCACTGCCTAATGATCCAGTACGTAATAGTTGACTTTCCAAAGCAACCACTCTGAAAACATTAATAATAAAAGGATATAGAAAGAAATTAATAAATTTATTTAAAAGGATAATATATGAAATAATATATTATAAATATATATAAAAAATAATTCTTATAAAAAATTTTTCTCAGATGAATATTCAGACCAAGTTTTGAGTAAATTCGAACAAATAAAAATGTTAAACTTCAGATAGAAAAAAGACGGATTATTGTGGAGAAATAAATTCCCCATAAAGCTACGGATCTGAATATGAAATTAATCTACTATCTATGGCTAGAAGCTCTATTCGGTAAACGAAGCCATATAGTTATATTGTAACTAGTGGAGATCTTAGATAAAGGAAATTATAATACGCATACATAAGTTGGGACGCGATTATATGAAGAAAGAATTAATAGAATAATGTTTGTTTGTAATGAATGAGTTTAAATTGAAACTAGTCTGGATCTGAAACGAGAAGAAAAAACATAAAACCTTCAAATGATTGAAACTATGTCGACATATGCTGTTATTGTTGTTGTAACTGTATAGTAATTAATATGACAGGATTTACAGGGTTCCAAGAACGGCCGGGTCTATGTCCCGGAGTCATTCGTCATTATCGACGACCAAGTGCTGTTTGACACCTTCCAAAGGGACTACATAAGCAGTTCCGAGCAGGTCACAACAACAAAGGAATTACATGACAAATATATGGGTTAGGATATGGATAGATAATGATTATATAAGAGGGCAAGGGATTCTATTGAATTTGACCCTTCCTAATTCTAGGTCGATTGAAGTAAGTTTGGTGTGTTCATTGGACCAGGAAAACAGATGGGCGACATTTGGGCATACATTGTGAATTGATTACAATTATGCATGACAAGAAGTTCTTTAGCACATGGTTATATTCTGATCTCAATTGATCTAGGACAGTCAGTGCTACACGGGAAACCTGCCGTTCTTCCTGGGAAATGCTAGGTGAGAACCTGTTGAGAATTTCGTTGCAGTGCAAAATTTGTGTGGATGGCTGTAAATCCATATTTATATTCGAACTCACTGATGTAAGCTCCATTGCAAGAGGTGTCGACATATCCACGATATGAGAAGAGAAGGATCGACAAATGCATCCTGGAGGGAGGGCTTTACATAACGTTATACGTACTTTTTCTCGTTGCAGTAGCTGTTGATATACAGCGGGGACTATAAAGTAATGTGCGTTTTAAGAATATACGAGCTCTATATGGTGGAATCATATAGAATATTACGGATCAACTTTTGTCCTTATTTTATGTTTGCCGATTCAATAAACTGGAATTTGTGCAAATTTTTTTAAAAAGGACCATACCAAAAAGACATTTTAACAGTACTTCTCAAACTGGAAGCTAAAGTCCATAATATCGTAGAGTGACTACTATAAGTCAATACTAAGACTCAAGTTACAACTATGAAATCGTTGCTTAGAGTATTGTTTAGATGCTTGTGCTTAATTTTTTTTTTCTTTTTGAAATTGATAATATTGTTGACAAAATACTACATAAACATACTTATCACTTCCAAGTAATCGATATGTGCGGCTCATATCTTTTATTTCTTGTGTTACTTCACCATTGCGCAGCGACTTGCCCTGCATGCCGTGCTTATGGAATGCCAAAACGCTATCGGGTAAACAAACTATAGAAAAAACTCACATTATTAAGCATTTCTTAGTTTATTATAATATTCTTACCTATGCTATCAACATTGAAATCGAAATTCAATTGCGAAACCATCTTTTTATGCTGTTTAGGATTACCTTGAAGTGTTACCACTTGAATGACGTTAGCATAACAAACAAGTATTGCATCTTTCTCAACTTGATGTACTTTCACCACTTTTAGTAAGTCTCGACGTGGCACCATTGTTGCCGTAACATCATATTCCAAATCATCAGCATGGAACCAACTGGCACCTATTAAAAGAATAATTGATAACAATTAATAAAACTGTTCCAATGCGTATAGTCAAATCAATACCACTATTCATGTTGATCAATTCCAATTTAAGACAACCATTAAGAGCTTTACGCACACCCGTGCACACAATGGGATATTCCAACTCTGGTGTGATAATCATCTCAAAAACAGGTGTTTGTCCATTCAGCACACAGCCGTGACCACCACCCAAAATACTTGTCGCTGGCCACTCACACTGTTTTAAGAGCATGAACTTATTCAGTGGATCATACCATTGCATTAAGAATATGCCATTGGGTGTTGCACCACATAAATATTTGTAGCCATTATAGGGATTGCGTGTTACACAACATTGCGTACATCCTTTTGTATCGGGAACTTTGGTTGTGAGCGCAAATTTCCGAGGTACCAGTCTTTCAGGAATTTTATTCATATGCAACGAAAACCGATGGGTTTGTTTGGAATGCAACGCTATCAAGTCATGGCGATACAGTTGACAGGATTTGCCTACAAAATAAATGAGAATAATAATTATTTTTTATTTGAAAATATTTATTTCTTAACTAATTTACCTGACAAACTCATGAGCACATCTTTAATCACATATAACCAAGTAGTACGTCGTGGGAATAGTTGATCTATGGCCGCATCATGTAATTCATTCATATTTAAATTAAATATACCCTCTTCTGCGCCAATAAGTAAGTGTTGATCTCGTGTATCGGGATGTATCCAAGACGCAGTACAGTGTACGCGCAAAGGACAACAATTGAAAATTTTTGAGAAACAAGCGCCCATAAGCACTTTTGGTGTAGGCGGCAAACCATTTGAAATAGGTCGAGGTGGGGTGTGTCGACGACGATGTGAACGTTTGGGAGGCACCGGAGGCGTATTATTCAGCAAATCAGGTTGTGCTTCTTTTTCAACTGGAAATAAAGAATAACAAAAGGAATATATAGAAATTGGAAGAAATAATTTTAAACAATATATTTTATAAACACTACGTACGAACCTTCATCATCGTCTTGTGTTCCACTATCACTTAGGCTTCTTGTTCTTGGTGATTTTCCCATTTCATTTAATAGTCCCATCAAATGATCCATTGAACTGTGTCGTCGAGGAGAATCTTCCAAACCATTCTAGAAGAGAAATTAGTTTATAATATTAGTTAATATTAGTATAGAAGACGTGAATTCAAGTTAAGGATTTAGAAAGATTGGCACAAAAGATTATGAAAACTTTATAAGTACTTCAGTGAACTGTTACTTTTTTAGACCTCTAGGTAAGTTTAATACCTAGATAATAAGTATATAAAAGCCAAACAGCATGGACGTGGCATAGATGGACGGGGAGTATGGATCACAACTATCCTAGAATACTAGAGAAATCCTAAATTATGACCTGTGATGTTAAAAGTTGTCATTTGGTAAGTTTGGAAAGAAGGTAATAAGGATGGAATGCAGCAGTAGATTGAGAGATCGAATCTAACTTGCATATATATCCAAGTCTCCTTTTATTTGATGAAAGAGACACATACATTATTCGGGCTTACGAGACGATAAAGTAGTTGAAATTTGAAGGGGCATAGATTCTGTGTACAGCGCTTTATCGTTAGTATGGAAAATGAAGTGTGTGAAGTGTAGGTTGAATGATTGAAGCTAATCGGTGCCAAACGTCAAGAATTTTGCAATTTTGATAATATAAAGACACACCGTATGGTTTAGAACAGCTTCTTCGCACAGCATGTCCTGTTAAGGATCTCATTTGCAAGGTAAACTAATTCGCAAGAAGAATACCTTATTTTTCGTCTAGTATTTTAATGTGACCATCGCCACTCCAATCTAACCAACGTAACCTTTGGTGTGACGATGTGAATGTGCCATTATTAAACGAAGGAACAATTAGAAATTGATGGCAGATATTACAAGACTATAATTAAATTTCTGTAGTTATTTAAAGATAAGACTTAAGTATGTTTTCGTCTAGTATAGCTGTATATTTTCAATTGCCTATATAATTAATTGAAGAAGCACTGGCAACAAAAACTAGTTAATTATTATAAGAAGAATATTTATTTTTGTGCCATTTTAAAATTGGATAATAAGTTTGCATGCTCCGAAATATGACATTTCCAGAGCATAACATTAAAATAATTAAAAAAAAAACAAGTATTAACTTTTTCACTTACCTGATTATTTTCATGTCTAAAATCACAGTTGTTATGGCTGTTATTGCTGCTGCTGCCATTATTGCTACTTCTGCCTGTACCTGCACCCGCGCCCGAAGTGACTTCTGTTGCTGTTGTTGCATCATCGTTGCTATTTAAATAATTGGCGCCATTATTACGCAATAATAAATTATTAAATAAATGAGCAGATGAGGATGAAGAGGAATGCATAACACTAGCAGCCATTGAGGCAGCAGATAATGGAGAGGTGGGTGAGTATATATCAAGTCCAAGGCTATAATTGCTAATACTAATACTACTACCGCCACCACCACCACCACCACCACCACCGCGACTGTCCGAACAGGAGTTGTCATGTGGATTATAAAGTCCATTTGTAGTTGATGTCGTTGTCGACGAGTAGGGTGAATAAGTATCTGACGAACTAGCATACATGGATGATGTGGAATGGGAAGACGATGCTAAAGCTAATGGTGACATAGACGTATTAAGATTATTGCTGTGACGGAAATAGTGTGAGTGGTGGTGTGTGGAATTGTTGTCGATCGCATCAACTGCAGTGGTGCGTAAATTTGATTTGCCGTTGTTAAAGTGTGAGCCACCATTACTCGTTACTGGTATGGAAGCAGTTGAAGCTGATGTGCCAGCTGCAGTTGCATAGGATGATGTGGAAAATGACATTGATGTGGAGGACATTGACGATGTGAGCATCATTGCAGATGTTGAAGCATTGTTGCTATTGTTGTGGTTTAAGTTATTGTGACCATTGTTGGCATTTATATTGGTGGCGCCAACCCCGCCATTGTGTGCACAATTGCACTCAGTGCTAAGTAAATCTTTGGTATCGGTTAATGGCAAAGTCGCTCTGCAAATGAATGATGATACATTTCAGACACTGACTAGTTAGTTTAAGAGACTCAATGTAACAAATGTAATTAAGGTTTCCAATAATAACAAAAGAAGGTGGGGTTCAAGAACAGGGTTGTTGTTAATTGTTAGTGTTAGTAGTTAATCATACATTCAAATTAAAAATGGAGTGTTAGTAGTTAAAGAAACTAATAGAAATGTGCGTGTGAAGGTTGGTTAGTTTAATTATGGTTAGTTAATTTATAATTTACTGTTAATTTAAATAAAAAAATTAATATTCTGAAGGTTATGAAGATAAAATTGTAAGTAATGAATAAATTGACATAAGCTTTTATTTTAAAATATATCTAAGTGATGAATATAATATAAGTTAGTATTTTATTTCTTCAGGAATGGATCTAAAGAACCCAAAACCACATCTTGGAATTAAAAATTTTTTTTGTTGGTGTGTATAGTATAGCTTGTAAAGAGTTTTTAGGGAACAGTTGATGAGATATAATATTTATTGTCAGTGTTTTGTAGAGGCGGTAATAGTTTTTGTTTTTTTTTTTACTAAAGAAAGAATGCCATGAGACTTATTGACAAAAACAATCTATATTTGTAAAGACCGATATAAGGGACTTCTTGAGAGCAGTTAAATTATTCTTAATATTTTAACTTGAGAAATTTAGAGCATTTTTTTACAAAAGCGAAAAATTAGGTAAGTACATATGTAATAATATATATCGATATACGTATATAATAAATAATATATGAAATTTTTTAAAGATTTGTGAAAAGTGTATATTCAACATTTACAAAGATTTAATTTTCAAATTTTTTACTTTTTACTAAGAGAACAAAATTAATAAATGAGATAATGATAAAAAAAGAACAACTGTTTAAAAAGTCAAGGCTTAATAATATCCAAACAATTAAACCTTTGGTGTGTATTTAACATAAGTTTTTTTTAAACGCGGAATAGCAAAGACAGAAGGACGGAGTAAATACATTAATAAAGATTTCAAGACTTCAAATGTGAAGCTGAAGATATTATTAGAAGTAGTATATAAAAATATTTTATGGACAATTGATTCAATTAGATAGATAGAAAAATAAAATATATGAGAGTGTAATATATGTAAATATACAACGAGTGTAAATATGACATTGTATGTATAATATTACAAAAGGTGTGTTCACGAATTCGAGTAAAGTGAAAGGTAACAGAGTAATGTAGTGAAATTACAAAGCAGCAACAACAAAAGACATTTAATTAATTCCTATCCTACTCAATCGATTACCGAGCTCGTTACTCAAGATCGTGAATAACACTAATGTTGAAGATTTCTTTTCTTTCTTTATATATAATAATATTATTTTTATACAATGTGCGTTATAATATCGAGGATTTCGAAGAAAAGGTTAAATTCTTAATACGTGTCACAAACTTTATATATAGTCCCTTAATGACTGATGAAATGCAATATATTTTCCATAAAATACTAAGAAAAATCTATTCATTTCAAATATAATTTTAGCATTTAAAGGTTTCCGGAATAAACTTTTTAAAAAGATCCTTAAAAGAAAAGAATAATGATAATGGAAGAGAGAAATGTTTTTTAAAAAACCTTAAAAGAACAGAATACTGATGATGAAAAAGACTAATAGGAAAGAAAATATGAAGACTAAAATTATTACCACAATACTATATTATTTTTATATTTGCTGTATTTACACCGTAATATAGTCAAATGATTGTTTATTAAGTAAATTTTGATAATCAATAAATATATTACAATTGATGAAGTTAATGACTTTTGAATATTTTTACTATTTAAATGTAAAAATATCTTTAATGATATAAAAGTAATTTTAATGTCAATCACCATAGCAAGAACCAATGGTTATGATCATAAATACATGAAGCAGTTTGTGATGCAAAAAATCCTGTCAGTTGCATGATAAATGAAAACACAAAAAGGGCGTTTTAGCTGTGATGAAAAAGGACACTTCGTTTAAAGTGAAATGTTTCAAATGTCAAAACAATGAATGCCCCTACACAAAACATGTAACCAGCATGAACGAATTTGCGATGCGGTAAGATATTATTATATGACAAACATAAATAAAAAACTGAGTTCTAAGTAACCTAACATAGTAGCCGTTATAGTTAACAAAACTATAGAGCTGAAAGATTTCTGACCTTTATGAATTGTGTCATAACTTCGGCAATGTTGTTGATGGCATTTTCAATATATTGCTTTGAGGATATTACTATTAAAAATAGTTTATGATGGATTTTTATAAATAAAATCGATTATTCTGGAATTTCAGATATGTATACTAACAACTCTAAACAGTCTTAGGCAGTTACGTTCCTAGCGATAGTTTAGTTCAGTTAAGATACTTTTAGACAAAAGTTTTAATGCTTTAGGCGTAGATATATATCAAAGATCCTCATAAGAAATTCAAATTCATATTATTTTAGTTGATATTATTGAAAAGTTGTTGTATATAGTAGAATAAGCTATGCTATTGGCGCAGTGTACAAAATATGCAATTGTAGTATTTAGAGAAATTAATGAACGAGATAGAAAGAACAAAGGCTGACAATCTATCTTTATCTGTTTCTGGTATAGGACTTTTTTTTTCTAGATCAAGTCCTCTGTCTCTATTTCATGTTATTGTAACAAAAAAAAGGAGAACGATATCAGTCGAAAAGTAGTATGAGTGAAAAAACTAAAAAATTAATATGATGCGAGTAATTAACATTGAAATCTTTTACATAGAGTACTACAAATGTATTACACGCCAGATGGCGCGTCTACTTGTTGGTGATTATCATGTAAAAATTCCAAACCTGAAATCCCAATATCTCAAAAATTAAGCTAAATTGACTTATAACGTAGTGTAAACTGTTTTAAAAAATAGGTTTTCTTACTAAAATTCGTTGGTAATATGGTATGCCCAGTAAATGGGAATCATATCAATAAGTTGAAAGTTCTATACTTGAAAGGATGTTATCTCAAAATTGAAAACGTTTATAGAGGAGTTTTTTAGAATTGTATCTGAAAATATATTGAGATTATTAATTTTTTTATGGTGTTGTTAATAGAACTAAGTTCATAGAATTGTCAGGTTAATTCATCTTTATCTAATGGGGAAGTCATTGATTTTTCAGCGTTGCTTCTACGCTGACTTCTAGTCTATGCAAACTCCATTCCAACCTAACCTAATCTTAAGGGATTATTGATATATTTTATATTCGCATTCTATTAAATGCAGTTAGCTAGTACTTTGTTATATAGTTAAGTTAATCATTGACTGAGTACGTAAGTGAAATAGTGGTTTAATTCATAACCGATATTTTTAAACATTGTTTAAAAAAATATACATAAATTTGATTTGTATTGAGCACATTTTTAATATGTAATTTAATGTACACTCCGTTTCACTTGAATAGCACACTTCACATATTTAATTTCTTTTCTTTATATCTTTTAAACTAATGAAATAAAACAATTTTTTTTTAGATTTTATAGGTAGTGTGATTAATAATCTTCATTATAAAAATAAAAAAACTTGCATTTTTTCAATAATTTTTATATTAAAAGATGACAAACTAAATAAGTATATAAATAGCATAAAAATTTCGTTTCACTTGAATAGCACATTTTTGTTTTTTAAATAAATTTAATTATTTTATGCACTAGGGACTGTTTATTTATTTATTATTAAGGATTAATTTGTTAAAATTAACATTTTAGTAATGAGTTGAACCTCCCTTGTTTAATATAACCTCATAGATCCTATCGGGAAGTGAATCATACAAAATTTTAATATAATCAAGGGAAATTGTAGCCCATGCTCGTTGAATTGCTTCAATTAGTTCAGTTTTTGTTGAATATTGTTTTCCAGATTCATACACTTTTCTAGCCAGCCATCACCAAACATTTTCTATTATGTTAAGGTCCGGCGAGTATGGTGGACAGTTCAGAACAGCAACATTTCTGGATTCAATGAACGATTTTACAACACGAGCAGTATGTATTGGGGCGTTGTCTTGTTGGAAAGTCTACGGCAATTCTCCAAAAAGATTCTCTAATTAAGGAAAAGCTTTTTCTAAAACTCCTTGGTACGATTTTATTTCATAGTTGTGTTTAAGAATTGGAGTTCACAAGTGCCATAGTAAGATATGGCTCCCCAAACCATAACTCCGCCCATTCTACTGTGTAAACGCTCCAACTGATGAGTTTCTTTCCTCAAATCATGAAAATAATAATTGTAACCGTCGGGCCCTTCCAAATTAAACTTTTTCTCATCAGAGAAAACAACATGATTCCACTCCTTACTCCATGACATGTTGGCACGGCAAAAAGTCAACCGAGCTTCTTTACGTATAGGGTTAAGTGGTGGTTTTTTTTTTAATTTAAGCCGTTTTAGATGTTGGGCATTCGAAATAACCCGCCATACGGTAGTTTTGCTTGCATTGACACCAGCTTTAAACCTTATTTTGTTGACCGAATCATGCGAATTCGAAGCTTGCCTCAAAATAGCCCGCTTATCTGCATAGCTGAGGACGCTTTTTACACGGCCTTTCATATTTTTTCCATAGTTAAGATCATTTTGAATGAAATTGTATATCACTTTTCTGCTTCTTCCGATTTTTTTTGATATTTGAGTTACAGACAGGTCAGAATCAATGAAGCTTTTTATTTTGACCTGTTCTTCGTTGGTTAAAGCATTACCACGACCCATTATTAATTTAAATCGTCACACTGTATTTAAAACTCACAAATAAATAAAAAAAACTTAATATTGTGGTGAGCTGTTACTAATAAATTAAATTGAAAACCAAATGTGCTATTCAAGTGAAACGAAATACATACTAGTTATTGATGCAAATTCAAAAGAAAATAACGGGAAAATTTAACGGTACATTTCTGCAGTACTAATTTTTTTTGGAGGAGACTACATAAGGAAACAAACAAAAAAACCCAACAATTATTACAACAAAGTCATGAGATCATTGATAGATAAGCAAATAATAATGCAAAAACGAAGTGTGCTATTCAAGTGAAACGGAGTGTATCTTAAATTAATAATGAGTTAAGTTAATCATTGACTGAGTACGTAAGTGAAATAGTGGTTTCATTCATAATCGATATTTTTAAACATTATTTATAAAAATATACATAAGTTTGATTTGTATTGAGCACATTTTTAATATGTAATTTACTGTATCTTAAATTAATAATGAGAATTTTTTCTTATTCATTGTATAAATGATCCATTATTCCATCATAACTGACTGTGCTAATACTTTTTCTGAATACAAAGTCACCTATCAAATGAATTAATCAATTATGTGTAATAAATTTTATTTTAATAAATTAATTAGTGAATAATTACTAATTACACTTAATCTGTAGTATGTAAAAAAGATTGAAAAATATTATTTAAATGAAATTGTATATACTCCTGTGAATACAATATTATGCACTTTCTGATCTTAAAAGTAAATTAAGTTAATAAATGAGTAATAAAGTAACAGAACATTGTTATTAACAGCATTTATCCTTATCAAATGAAAGTATTTTATATACAACAGAATTAAGTTATTTATTGAAATATCAGAAAATATTGCACACAACTCTAAAGGAATGCATTTAATTATTCGATTTGTGAATTTATAAAACAAATGTTATTTTCAGATTTTTGCATTTCATTGCATATATTCGTATTTTACATATTCGAATACAAGCAAATGCTTTTAAGGATAATCCAAGTGGAAATGATATGCAATCCTTTACAGTTCTGCAGTTACCAGAGAATTTCAATAAATTTAAGAATTAAAACGATAGACAAATACCAGAAATAGTGATATGTGTTATATGATATTTGAACAGGATTAAAAAGTTTTACAATATATTGCATGTGATCCTTGATGATATGTGCACACCATTAATATATATGAATATTTAAATATGATATAGTATTATATATAAGAACTACAAATTAAAAAAACTAAAATACTTTAATGAAATTGGAGAAATTATAAAAATACAAACGGAAACAATTACAAGGAAATTTTTTTATTATTTTAATTTAAATATTTAATACTATTATAAATACTAATTATTTTTATTTGTTTAGTGTAATTGAGACTAGTGTACCCATACAATATATTTTGTGTGTTTATTATTATTTAAAATTACCTGAGCTTTAGCTCCTCATCAATATATTGTAAAAGGCTCCTACAAAAATAATACAAAAATTTAAAGAAAACAAAATACTTTCGTTATAAATTAAACAAAACTAATAAAATGTTTAGTTTTTTTTTTTTAAAGAATTTCTAAATAAAATTGTAAAAATAAACTCAACTCAAATAAGCTGAAAGAGTAAAATCTATAATAGTTGAGAGAAATGTTAAAAGCTAGAAAAACTAACCAAACAAAATAATAACAAATTTAATTTATTGTATAAATTTAAAAAGAAATATAATTTATTTTTAATTAATATAAAGATAGATATATCAACAGAACAAAATTTAAAACTTTGAACTTTAATTTAAGATTGTAATAGCAGCGCATGTATATAAAAGCAAAAAGCCTGTAAGCAATCTGCTCCAATCGATATACTAATATAGTATATCATATTATTCAATATATTATATATTACATATACGTATGCAATGTAAAAAGATAACATTAATAAAGGGTATTTTGTTTTAAAATGGCATAAAACAAAAGCGGATCCTTTGCACTGGTCTAAGTACATGATACAGCTTGCCTTATATAAGTACTATAAGATCCATTTTCTGAGACCCGAGAATTTTAATAATTTTTTGCGTAGAAAGTGAAAAAAGTCGTATAAGAGGAAAGGTCACTTTTAGTTTAATACAGGAAAAAATTTTCAGTCATTAAAAATAAAGATTTTAATGACAATAAGACAATGCAAACATTAAAAGTCTTATTATAAAATAAATACATTATTTATTTTCAAATATTTATAATTTCACATTAAATAATAATATAAATTATATATAGTAGAGGTTTTCTAAAGACATTTCTTTATGAGATTAATTTTTCCCTTTTAGTGCTGTTAGCTGGCTGATACTTTTTTTAATTTTAATATACAAATTTTTTTAACTTTGATTTAATCTTATTTGGTCTAAATTGTTAGCACTATTTCTAAATAATGATGCTAAGAATAACATTTTACGACGACATCCTGCTCTCACTTTTTTTATATTATTTTCTATTGGAATATGTGATGTCTGTGGTCTGTTAAGAAAAATTAGACCACTTGTGGAATCCAATATATGCAGTGTATCAAAGTAGTGCTTAAAAATTAGACTCTTATTTTGTCTAAACTGTTAGCACTATTTCTAAATTGTTCATATTTTTCGTATAAGCTTCATTGAAAACATTTAAAGCAATTAACTAGATACAGTCCAAAACCTATAACTCGAATTTTCTATAACTCGAACAAAACAGTGCACCAAGGATTTAGAGAGCCGCTTCCATACTATTCTGCTTCCATAACTCGAATTTCTCTTTCACTCGAACATAAAGTTTGTTCCGTACCGATAGGAATATGGGAAAGTGCATTCTATAAGTCGAATTTTTGTTTTAAGTGTAAATGTATTATGCTGTTAGGGGAAGTATCTTTCTCCAAACCAAATGTTTAATTTTTTCTTTCTTATGTTGCTTCTTTGTGCAAATACCAGTCCTGGCAACGTGGTTTAAAATAAATAAAATAACTTCCAATGCTACCCTTAACGATTATATTAAGCTTGACAATGAAATTTGTACTTCAAGCTGTCCTACAGATATTGAGCACTACATATAGCTCTAAATTACTGGATCCAATTCTAAACGCAACGGAAAGTGATGATGAGGGTTCGGTGGATGTAATTGTACATCAACCTTCCAAAAATGAAATAGAAGACTCATTCAAAATACAGAATTTATATTTGCATGTAATGATATTACAACTGATGATCAATATAATGGTATGAATAAAGTGGAATCTCTTTTTATTGAAAATAAGAAAAAAACTAGTGTCCCAAACGCTAATTTTTAAATATTTTACTTCAATATAACTTCTGTGTTTTATTTGATTGCAAATCAATAAATATCTTAAAATGTAATTCGAGATTCTTTCAAAAATAAAAAATAATTAAAAAATTCTCTAACTCGAAGTTTCCATAAGTCGAACCTTTTCTTTGCAAAATTGGACTTCAAGTTATGGAAGTTTGACTGTATATATTACGTAAACAAACACATATAAGTATATATAAGTATGTGCCTTTAAATTCAGCGTCTGGTATAACTCACGGTTTTAGTAACACCGGAACCGAATTTCGAGGATATGGGGAAATACTGAAGATTGAAGACATTCAAAATAAATATAAATATTTATATTTATAAATATTTATATAAATATGTAAATATTTACAATATTATTTCTTCAACATAATCTTTGAATCCTTGAAAAATAAACCTTAGTGGTGAACTATTCTAATAACAATTGTTTATTTTCTTTGTAATACTAATCCTTCTTTGTAATGACAAATATTACTTTCATTATTTTATACATTTTTAAAGAGAATTACGTACTTATAATTATGTATAATTCTCTATATATTATTCTGTATAATTATATATTCACATCAAAATTACTATAACTTTTATCCTTCAATAAAGTATGATTTTGACATTTTGTTTGCAATAATAATATATTCTCATTTATTTTATTAGAAAATATTTATTACTAACACTAATTAGCATACAATGATAATTAATGTGACTGCAGGATACTCATTTGAGCAACAATGATAAACATCCTCCTTATGAATAACATTTGATACGTTATTAATTATTTACTGACGTTGGTGTTGGCATTTGCGTTTAAATTATACACTTGCCTTAAGGATCGAGTAACTTTAACCTTCAATTTTGGCAACTAATTGCGTTCAATGAGTAAACAATTTTAAGGTTCAAAAGTGCTTCGGAAGTCGAACCATGACTTCAGAAACATTTGTTTAAGTATTAAAGTTTGGAAAATAATTTTTAAATATTTTAAAGGTCAAATTTTTACTATAAATAAGGAAAAACCACAGCATATTTTCCTCTATAAAATTTTTCAAATTTTTCCACTTAAATTTTGTAAAAGCGCAAAAAAAGAAAGAAGGAAATTCTAAAGTTATTAAAAGGAAGAAAAAAAAATAAATAAATAACATAAAAATGAAATTTTAACTACAAATCCCTTTGGCGAATTATATTGTCTGCCATTTCAACGGAATAATTCTGCCTGCATTCGTAATCATTTTTATTTAAATAGTCCTGCCTAATCCTACAGCGAAAAGACAGGCAGGCTGTTAACCTTTGCGTTGATGTCAAGGGAGTGACAATGACCTTTAACAGTATTTCTCTTCACTTATGCTTGCACTAAGCTTTTACTATGATTTTCTAAACATTTTAATTAAAAAATATACACAAAAAAAAACAAGAAAAAAACAATTTGCTTGATAGAATGTCCAGTAGCTGTTCGCTAGATATATCTGTTCACAAATAAATATTTTTTATATACCATACATATTTTGTTCTGGAGTTATCATTTTTATTATTCGAAGGAGTTTCGGTTTGGAAAACTAATTTCAAAATAATTGCATCGCATTCGGTGTATGCATTTAGAGTGAATAGAAAAAAATAATAAAATAGTCGAGCTGTGTAAAAATCTAATAAAAATTCTTATGACTCTAGAATAGTCATAAAATTTTTTTTATTTATAGTTGCATATTTATGAGTGAATATCTAACTGCTATTGGTCGAGGAGTCAGCAATAAAAATCCAGTATGCTATGCGATCGTAATAAAATTTCATAATAAAAGAAAAAAATATGCATAGAAATGCTTTTTAAATAATGCAGATTTGTTTTTTTATGACTTTATCTTAGAAGAATTTTATTAAAATCTTGTTTTGAGAAAGCTTAACGCATAAATTAAATATTTCAGGCAAGGGGAAATAACCTTATCATTACCAAAGATATTCCCATATATTAACACACAGGAACTAAGATAAGTTTTTTGTCGAAATAATGTTTGACAGCAATCACTTATTCAGAAGACTGTGAATTAAAATTTAAAAATAAAAATAAATATTAATAGCAATAGCAGCTTAAGCGGAGCGAGCTCTACTTTTAGAACAATAGATCTTTTAAGTTGCAATTTATCAGTGTATTGAGACATCATGGTATATCAGAAATGCAGATATATACACGAGGACTTGAGAGTTAAGACTTTACAAAAGAACATCAAAGACAAAGTGCTGAAATTATTTGATTCTGTGTTTGCTTACGCTAAATCAAAATTCTACTCCATTAAAACAAATGCAATATATATTTCTTTAAATATACTAAAGAAGATACTATATCTAAGATATACTAGGCTTCAAATTATACCTCTGTAAAATCACCAGAATAAATCATTATTGTAATTCCATGGCACCAAACTACCAATATTCAATGTAAGTGTTAAGTCCGTTGTGAGTAACTGAAGTTGCTACCCACAAGCTACAAGTGCTTGTAAATAAGTGTCAACGATAGATCTGCAGGTTCTTCCGGCCAGGTCTACAGGTTCCGGAGCTAACCATGGCATAATCATTATGTTAGATTATAAGAATTCAAATGAAGACTATTACATTTTATCAAAGTTATGAACGTAAAACATGTTGTCGTAACTTGTATTGTTCCATCGTTGCAAGTGACAAAACTTTAAGGCGAGTGGTTAGACTAGGGACTTTGGGTCCCTGGAGATTTATATTATATTAATTCAAAATAACTTAATGGTTCATTGCTTATAAAATATCTATGTTACACCGAATAAAACTAATTATTGATACATTATGTTACGACGTCTTACACTTCAAAGGAGTTCCCGGCGCTTCTTGGTCTACTAAGTTGATATAAGTTTCAAAGTATGTAAAGAAAAATTTAATCGAAACATTGTGTTTATTATTTTGAACATTAAAATCATAAAAATAGTATATGATCCAAGTAGTTATATTGGCGATTTCTAGGGATCCACTTATGCCTATAAGCCTATTGTGTTACCGTATATTTAAAAGCTCAGAGGTTAAAACCACTTAGAACCATTGACAAAGCTTGTAATTCTATTCAAGCAAAGATCTTGCAGTTCAAGATTTGTAATACATTCTATAATTTATATTGTTTATAATACATTTTTTCCTAT